TCCGTGACTTGGAGGATGAGAAGGATTGGATTCGCGAGAAGCTTGCTCTCATTCAAGACCAAGGCAAGATGGCCACTAGCCTCTTGGCTAATCAACAAATGCAACGTAGGCACAAGATGCTTACTAACGAGGTTGAAAACCATGAACCTCGAATTAATGCTGTGTGTCAACAGGGAGAGGAAATGATTGGTGAAGGTCATCCGCATAGTGAGAAGTTCCGAGAGGGTATTGATGAGGTCCACGCTCTTTGGGCTGAACTCAAACAAGCTTTGGCTGATAGACAAGCTGCTCTAGTCCAGAACGAGGTTGCTCAACAATACCTCTTTGATGCTAGCGAGGCGGAAGCTTGGATGGGCGAACAAGAGCTCTACCTCATGGGAGATGAGAAGGCTAAGGATGAGCAGGGCGCTACCAATGCTATGAAGAAACACGAACTCCTACAGAAAATTATTGAGAATTACTCAAGTGAAATCCGTTCCTTGGGTGATCGCAGTCGTGCCATGATCGAATCTGGTCATCCTGAGAGTGAAATTGTCGCCACTAAACAATCACGGGTGGACAAGATGTACGCCGGTCTTCATGACCTTTGCCTTGAACGTCGTTTGAGACTTGAAGAGATTCTCAAACTCTATAGTCTCCTTCGTGAAATTCTTGACCTTGAAGCCTGGATTGATGAACGTACTGTGATCGCCAGTAGTCATGAGATGGGTGCTGATTATGAGCACTGCTGTCTGCTGAGAGAACGATTTGCTGACTTTTCAAAGGAGACTAATGAATTGGGCAAACATCGTGTTGCTGCTGCTAATGAACTCTGCGATGCTCTTATAGCTCAAGGTCATGGTGAGGCTGCAGAGATTGCCAGTTGGAAGGACCGTGTCAATGAGGCTTGGGCTGACTTGCTCGAGTTGATTGAGACTAGTATCCAACTTCTCAAGGCCTCTTGGGATTTGCACAAGTTCCTCTGCGACTGTCAAGATGTGCTAGATAGAATAGCTGAGAAAGCTGTTGCTATTCCCGAGGATATTGGACGAGATGCCAAAGCTGTTGCTGCCCTTCAACGCAAGCATGCTGCCTATGAGGCTGAGCTCTCACGCCTGGGACAACAGGTTGAAGAAGTGGTCGACTCGGCTAATCACCTCCTGCCTAGCTATGCTGGTGAAAAGGAGAGCATAATCTGCGATCGTAGAGATGAGGTGGTTCAGGCTTGGAGACAGCTCCAGTACTCTGCTGAACAGAGGAAGATTCATCTACTTGATGCTAGCGACGTGCACAAATTCTTCGCTATGGTCCGTGAATTGCAACTATGGATGGACACCATTCGTACTGAGATGACTATCAAGGAGAAACCTAGGTGGGTGTTCTTTATGATTCGTTTGGAGTTTAAGTAGTTTCTAACGTGTGTTACCGTTCCAATTTGTAGGGATGTGTCGGGGGTTGAGCTTTTGATGAACAATCATAAGAGCCTGAAGGCCGAAATTGATGCGCGTGAAGAGAATTTCAGTATCTGCTTGAGTCTGGGAAGAACTCTTCTTAATCGTCGTCATCCAAGAGAAGAAGAAATTCGTGACAAGTGCATTCAGGTACGTATTCGCATTGAAGCTTAGTGGTGGTTTGAAGTGGCTTGCAAGCACATCTGCTTTAGTTCGGCTTTCATTTATGCTATAAAGAACGTCCTTTTAACCCATTTTGAAGGTCCGACACGTCTTTCTAAAAAGGGGTTCTCCTTTGCGTTTATTTAACCTCAAGTCCCTTATTCAAAAGATGAAAGGAGCCTCTCAAGGAAGAATCCCATAAATACCTAAATTTATAGAGGAAGCAGACAATGTGGTTCTTGCTCTACATAAAAGTTCAATCATTCGGTATTTGAAGGAAGACTTTGATTTAGCTTTAGCTATTTTCCCCTATTGCTTAAGGTCAACTTAACCGTGCACATATTTAGTACATTTTTGAGTTCTAAGTTATTAGGAACTAAGTCTTTAGTAATCAAATAATTGGGAAATTATTTCAACTCTATCTATTTTGCTCTTTTAATGCAGTAGTTGTTCTGAGATACGGAAATATGTCTGAAGCACAGGATGTATCTGCTAGTTAACTACATGCATTCCTTTTGAACTGTTTTTTGCGTAGTAAGAATGTCCTTCAAATGGTTAATTACGCTATGCTTTTTGGCTAACCCCTCATTCCTACCCATGATTTATGCAAATTCTACCTTGGCCGTTGTCTTGCTACTTGGTATGCATCATGACGTGGTTTCTTTCTTTAGCTTGTTACTGAGCGTGTACTTCTTCTGGAGCAATGGAACGAAAGGAATGAGAATCTTCATCTCATGCTTGAAGTTTACCACTTTGCACGGGATGCTGCTGTCGCCGAAGCTTGGCTCATTGCTCAGGAGTCCTTTGTCAAAAGTCCTGATCTTGGTGAATCTCTTGATGAGACTCTGGCTCTTCTCAAGAAACACATGGCCTTTGAGAAGACTGTTGCTACCCAGGAAGAACGATTCATTGCACTGCAGAAGGAAACCATGGTATGTTATAACCATTAAGTAAACTTGTATCTGCTAAGTGTAGAGTGTAATGCTTTTCATCCTTTTAGCTTGAGTTGCGAGCCAAAGAACGAACTCCAGAGAGCGAAGCGGCGCACCGAAAGGCTATTGACCAAAAGATTGCCGATGCTAGTCGTGAATTCCAACCTCTTCCTTCCACCTCACAACCAACAGCTGCCGTTCCTGGATCCTATCATGGGACTCCATTGCGTCGTGGCGTGGAAACACCTACTGGACGCTCCCTCCGCGAGTCTGTTGATTCTGGTCGACCCGCCCCGCACGATTTGGAAGCTGTCCTTCATCGCAAACACGAATGGGAGACTGCTACAAAGCGGGCCTCAGGTCGATCATGGCATGAACTTTACTTCGTCCTTAATGCTACTCTCGGAACTCTCTCCGCTTACAAAGAAGCCCGATCAGCTCACGATAAACCAAGTCACACCTATCATAAAGAGGCCCCAGCTAGTCTAGCCGGTGCTGTAGCTGCTCCAGCAACCAACTATGACAAGCGTCCATGTGTATTCCGATTGAAACTCGCAAATGGTGGCGAATCTCTTTTCCAATGCCCTTCGGAAGATGAGATGCACAATTGGGTTGAAGCCATTAATGCTATTGCTGCTTCTTTGCCAGCTCCAATCACTGTTATGCCACCAGCGACTGAGGAGGAAGAACAGCAGCAGATTGAAGGGGCTGTTATCTCACCTGTTGGTCGCTCTGCAACTCTCCCCTCCACAGCTCTCCATCTCTCTGAACCCGGTACTGGTAGTGGACAGGCTCCCGCACCATCTAAACCCAAACGGAAGTTCCTCACGCTTATGCGGAAGAAGTAAACCGGGTACTCGCGCTGCGGTTGTTGCTACTAAAAATAATTTGTTTTCCCTCTCCTTTCCCGCTTGAACGCCTAAAATCAATGTGTTTGGTGTCGTTGCACAGTTGCACACTTTTTTCGAAGGTAGTTATCTTTTTGCACCAATCTGCTTTTTACTCTCAATCTTGTGTTGGGCAATTAACATTTTCGTCTTTTCCTTTGGGTTTACTTCACTCTTTAATCTAGGAACAAAGTTATTCATCTATCTATAAATAGTTTCTCTGTCTGATGCATTAATTTGCCCTCCCCCCTCCCCTTGTAAATGTATTTGTTAGTAAATTTTCGAAGTTGCGCTATTTTCTCTCCCTGCCCGCCCTCTTTTCATTCCCGATGCACACAAAATTGGTATATTGATCAATCTTTACGTATTCGCCAATGTTTTCGCGCGTGTCTTGAAGAGACAGCTTAATGTCTTTGCTTGATTCTTCAAAATATTTCTGTGTGCTCCCTCTTTGTCTCTTCCCTACTTGTTTTGCGAACAATTTACTTCCATCTCCTTTCTTCTAGTCCTCGCGCAGATTTATTCCACAACTTTTTCCTCTCTATTTCCCTCTAAACTTAATGCAATAATGAAGCTTCTTGCATAAATCGGTATATGTATTTTGTTTTGATGTCTTAATGGTTGGTTCATGGATGTAATTTCTAGGAATGCCTCTGTGTTATTCGTAGTAATACTTTGATTGAATAGTTTGGACATATTTTTTTGGAACATGAATGGTTTCAAGTTTGCTTGTTCAAACTTTTAGTTCTAGTCGTTTATTTATCATCTTCCACTAGATTGTTGATTAGTATCGGCAGTGAAACAACCTTTGTGTGCCAAGTTGAATTCAAAAGAAAATTCCAATTCACACAACCTTATGCTACCTTTTGTTACTTCGCATAAACACCTACGGAGTGCGCATACAATCAGCTAGATCACAGCGACATATGTACGTCCAAACAAGGCTATGTTGTTTGTCGGATTGTAAACGTACCCACGAATATCATGGGAACGCCTTTTCACATGCAGATCAGTTAAGTCATACTGGTGAGAACGGTTTGCCCAAATAGAATTCTGATTCCGTTGATTTCGTGAATCATGAAGTGCTGAAGCTCTTTGCCTTAATTCCCCAAAAATGTTTATGACTTATTCTCCGAATGTGGCTTTAAAACGTAGGAAATTGTCTTTCACATTTCGGGCTATGCAATCCTCTCTCTTATTGAGAGCTTGCATCTAATAACGTTAATGCATAATCATGTGTCTAAAAATCGATAATCTACTGCATTGATGAAATTCAAGAAAGTATGAATGCTTAACAATACGGATCGATGTGTTGCGGCGTTTGTTAGTATACTGCTTGCACATTGAATCATCATTTGAAGTTTCTTATTGGTAGTTTACTCAGCCTTGGATAAACGATTGTGGTGCGTGTGTAGGCACAAGTGCGGCGTGTTCGCGCTTTACAGCCACTTGAACGTACACGTTCACACATTTGGGATGCACGCAAATCGGCTCGCATGCATAAACACAAATAGCAAAAACAGAACAGTCTTGGTCATGGGTCTCTTGGCTCTTCATTTGGCCACTCAGACTTGTGTTAATACTAACTTGTTATTTTAGGCAAGAAAAAACTGAACCTGCGAGGGGGTTTGTTTCGTATGAAGGCTAGCTGTGGCAGCTTTTATCATAGTGACTAGCATTTCCATGGTTTGCCTTCAGTTGAATGGAACTCTTCAACATAACTGAAATTCTGCATAAAATGGCTATGCTTAACGCAATATTCACTTAGCTGATTTCCATAAAAGCATTAGAAAATACCCTTTCAGAAACCAAGGTTGGTGGTATTGGTGACTGCACCAAAACTAGCTTTGCACCAATAGACTTAGTTGTCACCCTAAAATAAAAGTAAGGTCCACTTTGGACTAAAAATAATGAGACTGTGAGCGACATTGGAGATTCCTTGAGAAGGCAAAGCTCTAATGGCTACATATAATTATATGCTTAAAATCAATTTTCAAAACCACGACGAGTGTTCTCTTTCTCACTACGGAACAAATGAGTAATTGACGTTATAATATCGATCTTCATTCTCACGCGTGAAGCCTCATACGCGGTTGCCGTTAGTCCTTAATGCACTTTATTAATGAGACTGCTATCTGACAACTTTACTGAATTTGCACTAGTCACTGCTGCTAATTCGCATTGGCATAATGCGAATGGAAACTACGCAGATGCCCCTTGACAAACACTTCGCATAAGGAAGAACAATTGTTAGTTGCATAGTCTTGTGTTTGTGAAAATAAAATCACCCAATCATGAACTACTGCCAAGGTCATTCAATAAAAACCAATACGCCTTTATAAGCATTACATAATTCCTCAAGTTTAATCTACTCATTAACATCAAAGCGTCACAGTACAGGGTGGTTGTAAATGAGCCTTGAGATAGATGTACAAAATAGTACAACAGTAAGTACGTTTCTATGTTGAGTTATCGTGGAAGAATGCAATACGTTTGTGCTCATTAAGTGATTCTCAAGTTGCAGTTCTATTTAGCATTAAAATCAGTCAGTGTTTGAGGCAGTTGTGGTTAAGACATATTAATCGATAACTGATATTTTGAAGGAAGGAGAATTACTTATGCTTATTAATATCGAAAAGTTGCGAAGAACAGCTGTAATTATATCAGATATGTTACCTAGATGACCTCTTGTTAGAGCAACCCGGTTTTAGAGAAAATAAACTATCTTTAATAATTAATGGCGCTCTTTCGCCCATGGACATAAATAGCCACCAATTTCATGAAGTCAGTGCGAAACTGAGTAAGTGATCCTAAATGGGCTGAAATATTTCAAGAACTTTCAAAGTCACTCAGAGTAACAAAGAAATAGTCAAGAGAATTCTCAGATAATCATTTTAAGGTTAAGCGAAATTCAGTTCTGATTAACTCCAGCTAACAAAAAAATGTTGGAAGGTGGGAAAAGCGTTTCAAGATGACTAAGAGATCATCATCATCATCATCCTATTTTCAAACTTGGTAATTTCCGGTCTACTCATCTCCTGAACTGAACTGAAATCCAAAAGGACTGGCTTTGAAATTTAACGTCCCTGTGACATTGTTACCTAGGTAAGGCCCCAAAAAGGTTAAAACGCCTTTGTTTACTAAGACTCGGAGACCTTAAAGGCTAAAAAAGACGTCAAAATTGTGACCAGGGGTTAAAAAATCTGTCCCTTAAAGAAAGAAATCCTCAAATTAAATTGAATTTGAAGTTGTAGGTCAATGCAGTCAATCAAATGGACTTTACAAATGAAGGTATTTTGTCTGTTCACTCCAGATGAGGCAAACACGCTCTACCAAAAGTGAGACATTCCAATTTTTCGATTGGTCTATTCTTGCCAAATTCTTTATTCCTCCCCCAATAAAAGAATGAGCTTAGGGAAAAGGATAGATTAAAGTCTAAATGTATTTTTCTCTAGCTGCCACTTAGAGGGAAGAAAAGAGGATAGTTAGGCCCTTGTTTTTCTCCACCTAATTCTCTCTATTAGTTTTCTAGCGGGGGTGTGCGATAGACTTACCTCCACGTGGTGCACCCTGGGCAACGTATACTCATACGGCAAAAGAGTCTATTAACTGGCAGTTGACCTCTGACTTCAAACTACCAAGACCCCACTGTATGTCATATTCGACCCCTTCCACAGTACTCATCTAGCCTTTTCTCTGTTTTTGTTTCTGTCTGTCTTTTACATCTGTGAATCGCCCTTCTTTTCCCCTGTCGAATTTTTCTCACTTTAATGTTCCTCCCTTCGGTGAAGCCCGTAGTCAACTAAAGGGCTAATGATAACTATCAAAATGCCTGGCATTTGAAATAAATAAATAGATAAGTTTTCTAACGAGATGCAGCGAAAGATCTTGGATGTGGAGAAGTATAAAGTAAATTTTGCGTACAGCCTCCCTTCCAATTAAACGCACTTTTCTAGTATGAATCAAGATCAAAATTTAAATTGTTACAAGACACCTTAGCTTTGCGCAGTTCCCTGTGCGCCGAACTTCAAGATTGTCTTAAAATATTAGCTATGTACACTATAACTAATGATTTTCACCCTTGACTTTATGAAAGTATTCGAATATCAATTCTTTTATACTCATTTAATATCGCAAAATTTTGCATGAAATAAGATGTCTAATTATGCCATGTGCAGAAAAACACTTTAATTTTTTCCAAAAGTGAAATAAGTTAAAATTGTTATTTGAATCGCTACTAACCACTTGTTATGTGTTTGTAGTAAGATTTCGGCAGTCTTTCATTTCCCCACAATATTTTTTGCAGTAATGTAAAATCAAATGTCCTATTAAACAATATGTAAATTTGTATTTTTTGTTTTCACTCGTTTGTTCTATGATTTACCGATGTAAATTGTTTAGGCGGCAGTGAAATTACAATCTGTTTACTAGAATGTCACAGTCTCATGCTTTTTGAAAGGAAGCCCACGATTTATTAAGCTCGCGTCGACGTTAGCTTTACACCAAAGGGTGATGACTAAGCAATGATCGATCAATAGAAAGAATTTGCTTTCCCCTCCATCCAATCTCCCACGTCGTATTTTTTTGTCTATTCACCACTTCAAATGGCATTGAGATAGTGGCTTCCGTCTATTCATTAATAATAAACTATAGATATCAACTCATGGAAAGAACGATTGCTGATGGCTTAATCCCTGCCACACTAAAAAGCCATCTTTTTACCACCACCAATTAATAGAAGAGCACCGTTTCGTTTGAAGCATTTTCGAAAGTAATGCAGGCTTTTCAAAATTTTAAGTGCTTCTATTCGGATCATAGTTAGCGTACCTTTAAGCGAACAACAGTAAACAGTGCCAATGTTTACATCTGATTTATTTTTGAAGGTAGAATTCTGATATACTCTACCTCTAAGGCGGACCCTTCCCTTGGCTAAAATAACAAATAATTGGCATTTCCAATAT